TAGATAGATAGATAGATAGATAGATAGATAGATAGATAGATAGATAGATAATCTGAGTACTACCAGTCCTCTCTGTCCCTCCCATCCCCATGACCCCAATGTGGCTCTTTCTAGTTTTACTGTTGTCTCCCCTATATACCATCCAGCCAAATTGAGTGAATAGCTATCGAGCTAAACTATTGTTTATTCATCTCAATCCAGCCTTTTCACATTATTGAGAGAATAGCACTTTCTAAGGCCCTTGATTCTAAGAGAGAATTCTGGTTTGTTGTGTTCCAAATTACTAAGGATTTTACAAAAATTATAATGATTTAAAGGTTTTCTTTTTTAAAGCCCCCTTTTTAACTACAGAGGAAGATACTTTTCTTTCCTTCCCTTTCCCCATCTAAATAGGACAAATGAATGTGAGACTCTGTGAGATCTCTTATTCCCACCCTGCTTGACAAAACGTAACTCTGTAACATCAGCAGTAAATAAGAACCAGTCACCACTCATTCTTATCATGGCGTTCACTGATCTGCAGGGAACTTTACAGAAAGCTTTAAAGTTCACTATCTCAAGACCTACCTGTGAAATAGACATCAAAAAGAGAATAAATTGTTATCATCCCCATTTTGAAGGCCAGGAAACAGTAGCTCAGAGAGGTAGGTGATGGGATACTGTAACCCCAAGCCACCACAAACATGCTCTGTGGGTTTTGCAACCCTCTTTCTTAGCAACTTGGCTGTGCTTTTCACTGATGTCACAACAGATTGACTATGACAGTCATTAATGGGTAAAGTTAATAGACCTCAGAGTTAATATGTAAGTGCCTCATTTCTGAACTGAGATTAGAAAGAAAATGAACAGCTCCTTAGAATACTTAGCATATCCTGCAATTGTTGCTAATCACAGACAGAGCACGACCTTTAAGAAGAAACTGGATGTTGGACACCACGTGTCTCACAAGAACAGAGTGGAAATAGGTATGTAAGGGATAGAAGGTGTTGGTATGTCGAGGATGCTGAAAAGTGCTGTCCTCGTTGGCGAGTTGCTAAAAAAATAATAAAACAGTTCGTGACTTCAGAAGTCACAGGGCTTCTCAGACGTGGCTTATGAATTGATTTTACTTGCCTGGGCTTCTCTCTAAAAGAAAGGACTTGAGAAAGGGGAAGAGAGAGGGGGAGGAGGAAGGAGAGCACATAGCAGTAAGTGGGTAATAACAGAGATGCAAAAAAAAAAACAACAACAAAGCATTAAAAATATACAAAAGAAAGCAAAAAATAAATTCAAAAGGGACATGGGACAATTTTATTACTACTTGTTAAATTTAATACACACTTTCGGAAAACTCTAGCAGTACCTAATTTCATATAGAATTATTTTTTGTTTCTATTTGTATACTGTTTGTGTTTCTTGAGATTGTTAAATTCAAAATTTTAAAATTTTAATATTCTTTTATTTATTATTCTTTTTATTTAAAAAAAAAACAATGCAATGGAGGCTATTAACCAAGCCCTCCTGTATTTGGTCAAGGAGCAATGAAGGCCTAACATGTCCACTCCCGGGTTCATTTCATACAGATGATGGGGCCTGAGGCCTCAATGAAGGGAAGTTAAAGAGAGAAAAGAAGATGTCAGTGCCTTTATTTCTAGATTTGTGCGGGGTAGAAGTGTAAAAAGTCAGTTTTATAAACACCAAAAAGAAGTTTACTGTGGGAGGGTTTCTTTTTATAGATTCTACCATTCTTGTCAAAGCACATGCAATCTAAGTAACGTTGCTTTGGGAAATCAAACCAACTTAAATCTGTTTGGCCTTCTAAATATAATTGATCTGTTGGAGTCTTCTTGTACAAAATGACTAATATGGAAATATTTTACGTGATTGCACATGTATAACCTGTATCTGATTGCTTACTGGCTCAGGGAGGGAGGAGGAGAGGGAGGGACAGAATTTGGAACTCAGAACTTTAAAAAAATAACTGTTTAAAAAATTTGTATTAACATGTGATGGGGGGAATAAAATATATTTTAAAATCATATATAATATAATATATATATATAATTGATCTGATTCTAACTTTAAACTGTTCCTAAATATGAAAGGAAGATATGTAAATGATAGATATAGATATGTAAATAGGTTAGCTAACTTAAGAGATCAATATGTCTATTCAGGTTTTGTAATTACAATTGTGGCACAACAAATTAGTTTATTTTATCCTTTTCCTCTAGCTAAGCCTGCAGTTGATACCAAACCTCCAGTGGCACATACACACCACATTTTAAAACTAAGTAAATTACAGGTATGTGATTTGACTACTTCCAGAATCTCTTCTATCAGCTGAGATAGATATTAAACTCTTAAAAGGGACCAATTACCCAGAATTTTGCCAATCACCAGTTGTCCAACCCCAAAGCATTTTAATGGTCCCTACCTGAAATTCTTCCCCTCCATGTTTCCCAACTTTCATTTCCCTTTCAACCAGCCCTGTTACTTCCTCTTTCAAATGAGAGGAGCCTTTCTCTCAAATTCCCATTCAAATTGTTGCTACAGGAATAAATAAATGT